ATCAGTCTCGGTGTAAAGAGCAGTACCAAGAACGGTATCTGCGCTAGCTGGAACAGCGGATCCAGTTCCGGAAACCCAAAGGTTAACACATTGTGGGTAGTTTTGAGCTCCATCGGCCTGCTCAGCGGAGTGGAGTGCGATAATCTCGTGGCGGAGAACGTAGGCACCTGGTGCCAAGGACTCTGGGATGGTGACAGACCAGGAGTTGTTGTTGGCGATGAGCTGATCGGATGCCCATGTACCTGGGACGGTGGAATCATCGACGAGTCCTACACCATCAATCTTGAAGAATCCGAGGGTGGTCTTGTCGACAGTTGTGCAATCACCTCCGGTACAAGCAGCAAGGTAGTCTGAATTATTGATTAGTAAAAAGAACATGCAAAGGGGTTTGATATGAGCATACCAATAACTGGACCGTGATGCGAATCAGGCCAGACAGTCCATTGCAAGTTAACCTCACTTCCGGCAGTAACATTAACGTATCCTTGAGCATTGGTAGCGCCCAAGTGGCAAATGATGTCGGATTTACCATAAGCATCTGGTGCAATGAAACCGTTCGATGAATCAGATGGATCGGACCATCCAGCAACAACTGGTGCAACTTGCTCGTATTGGAAAGATGGGTTGTAACCCTCATACCTATTTGAATGTAAGCTTCTATTCCCAAAGTTTTTTTTTGAGTTTTACGTACCAAACACCATCAGCAGTGATACCTTGGACACGTCCGTGAGCAGCAACACCAGAGATAAAAGCGGCACCAGCCACAACAGCGATCTTGGAGAAAGACATTTTTGATGATAAAATCTTGAGATTGATGATTTTGATGGAAGAAGTTTTGGGTAGTTTTTCGTGTAGTGGAAAAAATGAGTGTTTGGTTTGAAAAGTTGGATAAGCTTCAATCAATGAAGTAATGAATGTAGATAGTCACCGAGGACTGTGTAAATGAATGTGATGGGTAAAGAAAGAAACGTTTGCTTGAACGATGAAGAATTCGTAGTCAAACTGGCCAAGGGAAAGATACTTATACAAAATTTAGGGAATGGGACTTAGTCCTGTATCATCAGATGAACTGGTTAGTTGTGGAGATTCTATCTGTGTACAAGAAACTGAACATCCTAGTTCTTCATGAATCGCACGACTAGATTTTGCTTGTGAAGGCAGTCGAGGGGGAATTCGCAAAAGGGCTAGAAACATGTCCAAAAAGCTTATGCTCGTCATGATGCTTGAACGAGATTGGATAAAAATTGCCTGTGGATGATTTCGAATGAACAAAAGATGTATTCAAGGCGGTAATTAGCAATATATTTGTTGCTCGCAAGGATATTTTGATTTGAAAAGGGTGACGACCCATACATGAATCGATTCCTTCCAAACTCCAATGTTTTCCTCCCCACTTCATTCTGACCGGTATCCGAATTCCTCAGATGAAAATGAGAGTAGATTGGATGAATTATGGGTATCTTACCACCTTGAAGCAATGGTAAGGGTATGAAACACAGATCTCGTTTAATTAGCTCCTGTAATTCAATCGTAGGCTCACTCTGTACTAACAGAGTGACAAACTTGGTCTGTGTTCACATATCGTCGTTTCGACCATGTAACGCTACCAATGCATGGGAATTGTCTATTGTTCCCACCCAATAAACGTTCACCAGAATAGTCTAGATGAAAAGATTCAATAACATAACCAATAATACTCCGAATTAAAACTTTCTTTGAAACCACTGACAACGTCGATTTATTAAACTTTCGACCCCATCTACCAGATTCCATCATTTGACCACATATGGAGAAGGTTTAGGGGAATGAATTGAGTTGAAAGGGGGCGGCTTTAGATTGTATGCCTATTTTGGAATGCCAAAAGAAGCAATTCGTTTTCCATGATTTCCGATTGATTAATGTTAACATTGTGAATCAAGCTGCGACTGTCCCAGTGTAGCAAACTGGGGGCCTTCAATTTCTTCTTCATTTTCGTATTCGATCGATATGTCGGACAAAGTTCCAAGAGACTCGATATAGCCTCTTATTCTTCATTCATTTCGGAAAACCATTCGAAAGTTGATTCTGAACCACCTGGGCACTCCGAAAAGAGACTTTGAGTGGAACCTGACTGTAATATTTGGTACCGAATGGCGATTATTGATTCAGAATCAGGAAGCAAGCGCCGTTGAATATCAATAGGATTGGCGCTGGAATGCAAAAAATAACCTCCAAGTGCAAACATTTCGTTCATTTTCGGAATTGCGGCAGCTCGACAGCACTTGAGAATTTGCCTGGGTCTGGGTCCTGACTAGGATTGGTAGGAAGAGAACCTAAGATATGAAAGGGCGATGATTTCGCAAAACGCTTCGAGGTTGGTTCTGCATGATCCCCTTGCTTGTCAATTTTATGGATGGTTCTCGAGTTCCCTGGAGGGTTGGTCCAATCTGTAGCCTATTCACATCATGGAACATTTACAAGGGATATGTTACCTACCGGGAGGAAATATTTGGCGCAGAGTCTCGGCCACATTCCTAATTCTTAACATCATTTTCTACCACTCATGGCATCGAAATAGTTGAAATTAAAGTATCAGGGGAGAATCATATGTTGCGGAGCGGCATGCATAATGGCGCTTGAGTACATGCATACGACTTGCTGATGGAGCTCGCACCGACCGTGTAAGACTTCGTGGATTTGGGAGTTAAAATTGCCGTGAACGCCTGGGCTCAATTTGCATCGCATAAAACAATTCGAATTCATTTGATTCGTATCAATAGATCGGTATGGAAGCGATCTCGTCATTGTAATGGTGGTGAATACCCGTTTCGGAAGAATGATTGCCCGTCCTGACTTCAACAACCTTCTTCCCACGAAGAAGTTCCCAAATTCTTAACATATCGTCTTTTAAATATTGAATACACAAGTGTTCTATTTGTATTGGCGATGTAGATATGTTTTTCCCAGGCTGTTGTTATGTTTTGAGTTGCCGTTCCTGATTATTCTGCCAGTCTTGAGATGTTTGACATTATAAGAATTCTGGAACCTACTCATCACATATATATCGAGTTGTTATAACGGATTAGTAACAGGCTGTAGAATCACTGACTTATAGGCTATAATGGTATTATAGGCCTCAGTAATTCAGCTGCAATATATCAGAGGACGCTAAGTATCCAGGAAAGCCTTAGGTATATATATAGTATTAGTTATAGGACACTTTAAAAACAAAAAACATAGTTTCTAGAATAATAGGTTTTAGGAAAAACAAAATACAGTAAGCAAGAAGGCTTTACTAGGATTAATAATGTTTTAGAGGGTTAGCCTCAGGATAAAAGAATAAGTTAAAATACTAAAAGTTATAGGATTAGTATTCTGTAATAGACAATTTAGGAATGATAATGCTTCAAAAGCGATTAACTATTTTAACTGTTCAAATAAGATGAAGATCTATATAAAGGAATGGGTTTCATTACAATGTAGAGTTTTGTACTTAAAAATAATCATTAATTTTATTATTATAGTTATAAGAATTGTAATTAGTTATTATTTTATTGAATTCTTATTTGAAGTTTAGCCTAAACTACTTCGAGAGATTTCTAAACACTTTCATGTGACCCTAGAGGCAGCTCCCGTAACACGAGTTTTCTACTAAAACCTTTAATTATTCAACTTTTCAATCTTTTAAATTAAAAAAGCTATTGATTTTTTTAATTTATATAGGAAAATATTATTTTTGTAGGAATTTTGTTATAAAACTATATAGAGTATAATAAGTAGATTCCAGAATTCTTATATATTGATATCGCGACGGGTCTTCGGTATTTGTATTTCGATTTAAATTCTTGTGGCGAGAACTTTTTGAAGTCTTTGATTTTGTTCTTGGGGGTGTTCGTCCCTTTTGTATGAGGATGACTTGGTCGTGGCGCTGTTTATAGTTTTGTTCAAACCCTAAAATGCGTTTGTGAGTTTATTGATCTTGCACTTTGTGGTATTGAGTTTCTTATATCGCATTTGACTTTTATAGACGCGAGAGTTTGGTTTCGGAACATTTTGATTTACGACTACTCCTCTATTGGCTTTGTGAGAAGTGCATAGGACGATCCATCAAAATGATGGAGGTACTACAAAGTACATTGGCCATGGTTACAACATTACCAAAGAAATTTATTGCCCTATTGACCACCGACACCACCGACACCATCAAAGACACTTTTATCTTTTCGTGTACCTAGTTCTGAGCTTGTAGATTACCTCTCCCAAGGTCTTTTGATCGCTCTTGTTTAAAAGGAGATATCACGTGGAAATGCGTAGGAAATCGGTAATAACGTCATATAGCAACATTTCATGTATTAATATCTTGAATGTCAAATTTATGACTAATATAACCTCAACTCAGTCTCTATGTTTTCATAAAATAGTGATATTTTAGTCTTTTTCTTTTTCTTTTTAATCATTAGATTTTTTAGAAAATCTAAAAAATATTGTATATTCTAGAGAAAATAATCTTAGTAAGAAAATTAGTTTTTTATAAATTTAAAACTATATTATCATTCTTCAAAAGATTCAAAAGATTCAAAAGATTCAAAAGATTCAAAAGATTCAAAAGATTCAAAAGATTCAAAAGATTCAAAAGATTGAATTTCTTTACTTGAAAACTTCAGATTTTTTTGGATTTTTAAAATTGAAATATTATTATAGGAAATATTAGAGGTTTACAATTTGTTTGATAAAAAAGCTACATTGAAAGTTAATAGACTTCTATTGATTACTATGAAAGGTATAAAAAGCAAAAGCAAAATCATAATCTATAATCAATATATTGATTATTTTATAATATAAACTTGATCCGTTTATTGTTATATAATCAGGCTATAGTCTTTTATCCTCTTCGACTCTGCTTCTATGTGCTCTAGGAATAAAACTCAAGAAATTATCATATTACTGCTACCTCTCACCACGCTTCGGCAAATGTAATTTATTTTTTCATGAACTGAGCCTGTCAGAAGGATAGCTGGAATTCACGAGAGACTGACTACCATTCCCCTGATTTGTATGAGATCTCGAGCCTGGCACTTGTCTAGAGTCTTGCTTATCAGTGGCAATGGGACGACGATTCTGACGCGACACAGGCTTCTGCCTTGAGAGTTGTGGTCGCTGCCGAGAAGTAGAGGATTCATCTTTTTTTTTGTGCACATTACGAGGCGGTAGAGCCGGATTTTCTCTTGTTGAGGAATAGTGATGCCCTGGTTTTGACCACGAGTTCTTTTCCTGCTGTCATTGAAATCGCTCGCCACGTCACTGTGGACTCTATGAGGATTTGAGCTCTTCTTCTGGATATCTGAAATTTTGTACTTTGGTCTAGAATCTGAGGGTACTGTAGCTTTTGGAGGAGGCTGGAAATTGGGATTCGCGCCGGTTGCTAGGAAGTTTCCATGTTCAATCTGGCTGAGAAGTGTAAAATCACTTTTCTTTGCTGGTTGCTTCGTTATTGGCTTTCTTTTAAGTCCGTAGTTATTGTGATTCTTGGGAGGTGCCAGAGTAGAGGTTACTTTTGGTTTGGGGAGAGACCTTTGTCGAAGTGGAGTGTTACGTCCGGTAACCGAGTATTCGTTTGCACCCGATTGATGATCAGCTTCATTCTCTCGGCTTGCTTCGAGATCAATACGGTCAAAGCCCTCGGAGATTTTAGTGACTGTGTATTGATTCCAGTTCGGCTGTGGGTGTTTCAAAATTGGCTCGAGATCCCGCGCTGATGTATAGATTGGATCCTCAGGATGTTCTGATTTACTATCTTTAGGCTTCTCTCGCTGCTTCTCTCCACTCGGAGCTCTAATTTGTTGCTGAAACCCCGCGCTATTTGTCCTCATTGTAGATTATACTTTGAAAAATTCGAAAAATAAGCTATTTAATAGAAGATGATAGTCGTGATTATGACAGGGAGAGGCGATAACAATGAAAGACTCGTGCGTGAGAAGATAAAAACACTGTAAATTTTGTCCAAGTGAACAAAAATCTCTCGAGGAAAGATGCCTTTATATATCATAACCAATTTTCTCCGAGTTCCTTTGGCTTGAAAACCCCTCTTTTCCAACACCTATTTCTTCCAATAAGGTCCATGGCGATACAGGTACAAACCTTTAGAGTGACCAGATATCAGGGTGAAATTATTACTTCACAATAAGGCCATTGAGCGGTTCACAGATCCTCATCCTAAAAGTTCTGAAAAGTGACCGAAGACATCTGAGAACGGACTAATGTGGTGTCCATTCAACACCGAGCAGCAAAGTTTACAATGTTCCCCATGCCTTTCATCAGATATTTTGAAAACTTGCGCCACATTATTCATCCGCCGCTCTTCCAGTCAACGTGAAAAGGCTATGATAGCCATCACTGACTCATCACCTAGGCCTAATTGACCACTGAAATTCTCCTCTTGACACTTGCTAGAAGCTAATCATAAATACTGTAGGTAAAGACCTCTCCCTCAATATTCAACCTATGGATAGAAAATCCCCGGTGAAGCGTACATTGAAGAATGAAAAGTTTGAAAAACAATCAGACTGAGGATCTTTTCCATGTGATGGCACGAAGATGACAGAGTCTGTATGACCTAAACATCTGGGGAGATGACCGGGTAGATAGTCATGTGATGGACGACAGAGAAGAGCACGTATGAGCAGATATGAGCAGCTAATGATATTATTCCGCGAAGAGGTTACGTATGCATTACGACTCTCAATCAAGATAAATATAATGGATCCACAACATCTCGTACGGGTTGAATTTTTGTATAAAAGGTTACTCATTTCCATCGCAGCCAAGAATTGCTCACGAGATATATTGGTGAAACCTAAGAGCCATTTGTTCTACCTGCCAATCATCGATACCCGTAGGAACACTGCGGGACCTTCCTTTCGACCTGATGTTGTCGCATTATCCGGGCGTTCCGAGGATACTTGAAGGGTGAAATGAGAATTCTTTACAAATTGGAATTGGATTAAGCGCTTACCAAGATTCATATAGTTCACTTTACAAATAGGGGGGTAATATTCAGAGACGACATTATTTTGCATCAAAAGTTTCACAACGTTGATGTTCGATTCAATTCATTCAACTTATCAGACTTGGACGAACATCAGTTACCACCTACGGACTGACGTTAAACGTTAGGCTAGTATAAATTCCGTTTGAAACACGAATAGTTCAACAACCAATCGGAGAAAATCAATCAATAGGGCGCTAGAGTCATACGCCAAGGTATCGCTTGCTGACATTATTGGTTAGAAACCACACGCTTTGCTGTAAATGGAAACCTGGGTGTACCCCTGGATTATTAATAAACTTTCGTCACAGGTTTCTTCTTTTTCAACCCACCTTGGTCCTCATCTAATCTATTTGATTCCACTTCATTTCCGCGATTAGGTTGACAGGCTTGCTCGATCTTGTCGAGCGTTATACCTTTTTGGAAGGATTGAAAGAGTTCAGTGCTAATATAACGGCCTTGGCTCTCAGTCTGTGCAATACGTTATGTGCCATCGGAACATTGATTCGCAAAGCTGCGTATCTTATTTCATTGAAACCCAAACTCTTCATCGAAAGATTGGTGTACAATATGAAGTTAAAATTGAGTAGAACAATAAGCGAATCTTTTACTACACAGCCACAAGTGTATCATAAGATTCCGAGGCTTCAAAAACTTCATCCAATGCATTATGCTTGGCATACGGAAGTACATCTCGATTGATTGAAAAACCAGATGAACAATGAATCAAGGAGGTCTTGAACACTGGAGATGACGATAAAAGAAACAGCGATATAGCTACATTCGAAACATCAGGAGTAAAATATTACCACACCTAGATCGGAACATTAGATTAACGACATTGCGGCCACGTCTACAGTTAATCTAAAACGCTCCAAGAGCCCCAAAACGTTTCGAAATGCGGGTAATCCTAGTCTTTTTTCTCCAAACTCAATACGCTCCGCCAATTAAATTAATATCTTCTTCTGCATTTACAAACAAATTTGATCCCTTTTGGAAGCGCCTGGAATTAAGAGATGAAAGTGGTATGGAAACAGCATCATAGTCAATATATTCTCGACTTCTTGGCACTCATTGTCAACCAGATGACAAGGCTATGAGGTACGGAATAGATGCATACAGATTATGGTAGACCGTCTACGTATTATTCAAAGCTTTATATATTCCGTCGGCTCCCTCTCTTCAACGCTTCTTCTTTCAACCACATCGAAGCAAGCCTTTGTACATTCAAGTTCTATCATTCTCTTCTCGCTCTACCACACTCTCTTTTTGCTTTAAGCATTTTACATTCATTCAGCTGGTCTAACATTTCAAATTCTTTTGTGAATTCTTTTCATCATTTGATTATCAAACTCCTTCATTTTTTCTCTCCAAAGTCAAAAAACATCAATCAAAATGTCTTTCTCTAAGCTCACCGCTTTCGCCGGCATGGTCGCCGCAGTTTCAGCGCACGGATATGTTTCCGGTATTGTGGCTGGTGGAACTTAGTAGGTTTAAACTTTCTCGCGTCATCTTGAAACTCATATATTAATTCAATATAGCTACACTGGATGGCTCGTCAGCAACGCATACCAAACCCCAAAACCTGATTCGATCGGTTGGGCTGACACCAACCTTGATCTCGGATTCACATCACCATCTGCCTATGCCACTGGTGATATCATCTGTGCTAAAGATGCTACCAACGCTGCTCTCTCCGCTAAAATCGCCGCTGGTGACAACATTGATTTCCAATGGACTGTCTGGCCTGAGTCCCATCACGGTCCAGTCATCACCTACCTTGCCAACTGCAACGGAGACTGTGCTACCGTCGACAAGACCACTCTTGAATTCTTCAAGATTGACGAAGCTGGATTGATAGACGACACCACTGTTCCCGGAACCTGGGCTTCCGACAAAATGATTGCCAACAACAACACCTGGACCGCTACCATCCCTGCCGATCTCGCTCCTGGAAACTACGTCGCTCGTCATGAGATTATCGCTCTCCACAGTGCCGGATCTAAGGATGGTGCTCAAAACTACCCTCAATGTATCAACTTGGAAGTCTCTGGTTCCGGTACCCTCGCTCCTAAAGGAACTCTCGGTGAGGCTTTGTACACCGCTACCGACCCAGGTATCTTGGTCAACATCTACTCTTCCCTCACATACACTATCCCTGGTCCAGCTATGTACAACTCTACCGGAGCTGCCACCGGAGCCGCATCCGGAGCCGCATCCGGAGTAGCATCTGCCACCTCCGCCGCCGTTGTTGCCACCAGTGCCGCCGCTAGCTCTGCCGCTGCCGTTACTTCCGCCGCCTCTGTTGCCATTTCAAGCGCAGCCGGTGCCTTTGTATCCACAACTGCTGCCCCAACCACAATGATCACATCCGTTGCCCCAGCCGCTACCTCAGCCGCTGCTTCTGATGAGACCTGTGACGCATAAGCGTTTTAGGACTTTGCTCAAACCGACAGGAGATTGATTTAGATGGATAAATGATAGTCTGATTTTCAATGTATCTATATCTTTTTTGAATAGAAGACTCTTTTTGTGGTCTCTCTATTACACATACAAACTAGCGTTTAGAAATGATAGAAGTTTCAAAAACCCAAAGATTGGAGCATGTTTGATGTAATATGTGATGTAAACTCGGATCTATAATATGTGATATAGACTTGTATCGATTTTGGAGATGATTTATTGTATTGATGGATGATATCTTCTAGACTCATTACAGATAGATATATGAACCGGACTTGAACTCAGATAGCTTACTCTTCAGTTTCAGATCTAGATTGTTTGTTAAACACTCATATCTTGAATATAATGAGTAGAACCTTTTCGATACATACTGCTCGATATTCCTCCAACTCGATAATCCAACAAATACTAAAACTTCCACAGTACGTATACAACTCTTCTTAAACATGAATACTCTTTAACTTAGTCCTCTCTCCGAGCATCATAGGAATACCTAGGTACTAACGACACTTCGAAAAGACTCTCAGCCGGAATCATGAGAAAATAGTAGTATAAGAATAAAGTAACGTGATGGAGAAAACTGTGAGATACGCAACAAGAATATTTAAACTGGTTGGTGATGTGATTGAAAAAAGTTCTAGACACATTCTTCGCAGGAGAAAAGAAAAAATAGGCTGGAATTAATCATTAATAAAACCTTTTAATAATCCAATTGTTCCATTTCAATTCGGAGAATTAAATATTGAAATAATACATGATTGAAAATCATTCAAGAATTTATTTAATATTATTTATTAGCTTTTGTAATTTCGTTATTGATTGATTTATTATAGAATTTCTTAGGGTGCTCAACTTTGGCCTCTTTTCTCCTAACTAAAGACACTCAATTTAAATCAAGTAGTAACGTGATCGAATAATTCATCAGACATGCAACAAGAACATTTCTATTTTCCCAATCAGGAGGAATATCATACGGATGAAATGTAAATTGTAATTGGTCGAATAAAGAGAAATTAACCTACCATCAACGAAATTTTCAACGCGAATAGAAGAAGAATACACGCGTGATATGCAATATTAATATTCATATGCAAGAGACGCGAGAGTATTTAGTATCTTTTAGGAGATGGGGATATATTGATTGGGATATGGTTGATTGAGCTTACTGTATCTTTGAGGGTCGCGATTTCATGTCAATCAATGCTATTTTTCGGGAGATTGGGAAGAAGACTCTATTTCTTGGTCGATTTTCAAGCGTGCTTTGTGAAATGCGATACAATTGTGATACAATGAGTCATGTGATATTCTTAAGAAGGTGACGATACGCTCCAATTTGATACAGCGCTGAATCGGCATACCAAATGAGATTTTTGAGAACCGCACATCCTTTCCTTATAACAAGTTCTAAATAAATGATCTTCTTGGCTTTCAGTGCTCTGTCATATAGTATTCCAAGATGGGCCGTTGCTGACTTCTCTATCTCGATACTTGACACAGCTCCATCATCTCGAGATCCACGTTTTGGAATCTACGGGTAGTGCGTGAGGAGTGACATGGTATTGCAGACCGTTTAAGGATCGATTCCGTTGGAACAGATCCCTTAAAGTAGAAACTTATGTACCAATCGTCGCATCAAGCGGGGTAGCTGATCCCTCTCCCAAAACGGTTTCCCAAAGCATTGAGATCCGCATCTTCACCCATCAACTTATTCACAATGATCTTGAGGTCTAAATCACCGCGTAGTGAAGTTGCACAACGCATCCCGAAAGCTCTGCCATTAGAAGATTCCAATCTTTAAAATCTGTACCAATTTGAAGGTAACGTTGTGAAAATCCATTTTGCAGAGTTTAGACACATTCTTTCAATAGGTACAATACTCAAACTCGCTGCTCCGAGACACCATAGCCCTGTTTTTGTCAGATCCTCAAAAATCCAGCGACATCCTCGATGACCTTTTCGGCCATCCAATTACATTCTTGAGCTGTTGATTAGAGATGCCAGGGACAAGAATGTGCAATGATCGATGTCAAGCTCTTGCTATGCTCCTCTTGATCTCATACGGAGCCAAGAGACTGAGACGGGTTCCCTTGATCTGCTACGATAATAGGTGTACTAATTTTATTTGCCTCCCAAGGCATAGTAGTAAGACTTCTTTCAACTCTAAATATTCTTTTTATAGACATAAATCCGGCACTTTTCAATTTTTGCAGGCTGTGAAATTTCAAATCAAATTTTTAATAACTCACGATCAACGCGAGTCACTAGTGGTAGGACAGAGGCAATCTGGTATGAAGGAAATATTCATAACCACCACTGACGTATCATTTAACAACCTTATAAAAGAACCCCATTCCCCTAACAAGGAAATCAATTGAATCGCGCACATTCCACATTCAGATTTCCACAATTCCTTGTACGAATACCCAGGCGCCAGATATCTTAGAGTGCTCAACCACGGGGAACCGAAAACTACATCAAAAATCACGAGTGCACCCGGCATGATTCAAGAGTTTCCCAAGCTGAAGAGTTTTGAGATCCTAAAATTTGCTGGAAGCCATGGCGATTCCGAGTTGATTAAACCTCGATGCTATCCAACCAAGGGCGAGCAAATTGACTAAGATGTTCTGGAATGGGTGTTTTCCTGGCCTGCAGTATTCTTCTAAGTCAATTGAACTACAAATGAAGTCGTATCCAAAAATATTGAAAGGTGCTGGCGATGCTATCGCTTGGTATCGAGCCCAGTACTTTGCATGAATACGATGTAAAGAATGCCATGCTTGACAACCGCCTGAATCATATGCAGTATGCATCTCTGTCACCAATTCATGTACGTATACATGTCGCAGCGTTTGAAATATCGATAGTGTTTGGACGCCCTGTCGAAATATAGACTCATGTGTGATTCCTGTTCTATCTGGCGTATTTAGGAAGAATTCCTGGGATTCCAGACCCAATCCAATCTCGATCCAAAGCGTAATAAGCTCTACCACATCGTTCACTTTGTTGTCTGGGGATTGACGAAGAAGAGAAGTTGAATGTTTTGGTTTTCGGGATTTTCTAGGTCTGGCCTTTCCATGACCCACTTTTCGAGCAACAAAAATAGTTTTAAATGCAGTGTAAAGCAGGCACGGAGATGCGACCACTTTGACACCAGTGGATTGTGAGACGGTAAATTTGTTACCAAGAATATTCCCAGCCGCTACGTCTTTTGATAGTTGCGATCCGAAACCCGAGAACGTTCTCAATTGCAATGTCAAACTTGAATTGATCGTGGAAGGACTGACCATCTCATGCAACTTAATCACCGCACCTCGAGCTTGTTCCCAAGATTCTGGAAGTAATAGAGTTTCTGTTCTTGTAATCGTGATAGGGAACTCATTGACAGAAGATAACTGTTGGGCATTCGGCATTGGTGATGGATTGAATTGTAAGTCCTCTGTTTCAATCTCATCGAGCGCCATATATGTCTTTGATACGGTCCTTATCAAGACTTGGCCAATCCGTGTGCTATACTTTGATGTGCGTTCGAAGTCTAAATATTCCACAGTTTGGATTCCTCCTGAATAATCTGCCAAGATACACTCAAGCTCAGACTTTTGGCCAGCTATGGAAGGGTTTTCCAAAGATTTGTTCCAGAGTCTCACGTTGCTCGGCGGTATATGATGGCATGCTTCAAGATGAGACGACTGGATAGAAGATGACGACTGTAGCTCTATTCCTTCTCGGATATGGTTCTTCAAAGAATTTTCCAGTATTAATTCCACAGCATCCACGAAACGTTTCTCAATTACATGGTTGCTTTCTAAGTTCTGTTCTGTTTGCTTTGCGAATTTGTCTGCCATGTATTGTAAACTGAATTTCGTCTCCTTGGCTGTACTAGCAATATCATCCACCTTCGCGTGTGAACAAGTGACAATTTCGGAAATCTGCGAATTGGATACATTGAGTTGTCTGATCGAGTTCCGTAGGGTTTCTATCTTGAGTATTGTTTCACCGTGTTTGAAACTGGCAAAATGTCAGAACAGGGACCAACGGAATGAGACGCATTGTACTCACACATTTTGCAAATGCTCAAGATGCCCCTTGGCTTCTCTTAGACGATTCAAATGCTTTAAGATCTTACTGGCATTGAGAGCCAATGAGAGCCTTGGTCCCCATTTCATATATCTTCCAACGCCTGTTAAGCTACCGTATTTATCGACCACATCTCGTAGTTCATGAATTGACTCATTGCAAAAGTCCAAAGCGGCAAGATGTTCAGGATTATCAGGTGTTGAGGCTGCAAAGTTCGTGGAAATTCTCTTTATGATAGAGAGCTCGTTATTGAGCAACCGGAGTACTACGGGAGCATCTCTTGCGTCCTCAAAAATGGTGTGTAGATAGTCACAGCCTTGTATGACTTGACCTGCCAATGAAATCACGGCGATAACTCCACCTGCAGCCGCCAACCCTTCCATATTGTGATCAAAAAATAAAAAAATAAGACGTGAGACACAAGATTTGGAAAGGATGAGGAGATTCAGATAGAGTATGAATTGAGAGAGTGGGAAGTTGAGGTTGATCTACATCGTACTGTGGCTGAGGGCAGGCACCACAGCCCTCCTTGTGTACCATCGCCCAGGTAGCTGCCTGCCCATTACCAGATGTAAATGGAAGCTTAGAATAAGAACATGAAAATAAGTAGGTACAACTTTGTAACTAGGATTTCTTCGGCCAGCGCCTCAACCTTTGATTGGGAGTTTGCGAAATGTTTTGAGCCTCTTGACTTCCAAAAGAGGATCTTAATTGTAAAGACTGAATTATATGACGGCGATAAGGCTGAGTTTACTCATCATCAAGGTCCTATGATCGAGACCTCGAAGTCTGGATTGGTGACTAAGAAGATGCATGTTGTCAGATTGGGTTGGCATGTAGCTGGTAAGAGAGTGGCAGGAAGTATGGGCGAGCATTTCAAATGAATTCGAGTATTGAAGAGCGATATTTAATCGGTCTCGAGAATGATCAATTTCTTTTGGGTTGATATGAAATTGTATGTTTGTGGATGAGAAATCGTCGGTCCATGCGAATGTATTCACATCCTATTTAAATGCACATAGGGTACACCGCGGTCACCCTAATCCGGCACTCTTGGAAACACCACCATCTCGACGTCACAGCATCGATCATTACCGTCAATCTATTCACTCCAGCACTCTAAAATCAGACCTATACCCTCAGATTCTTCAACTGTACCGCCTGTATCATTGGCAGATATTGTACAGCGGTAGGATGTGCGCTTGCTCCTATCACGAATATAGGTTACTTCCAGACCTTGGCTCCTTGGTCAAACCAGAGAAATGAACGATAGAAATGAGGACTGGAAGGAATGATTGTTGCGAAGCATTGATGGTGAGCTTGACGAACAAACATAGCCATCCTGCTTCAAAGCTCCTGGTGTCTTCAACATCATTGACACATAGACAAGATACTCAACCTGGAGTACACGTATGAGACTCACAATAGGCGGCTTGATGTCACCAGAACAGTGAGCAAGACATTGATGGACTCGCTCGAGCATGTATCAGGCATCGTCACCCAAAAAGCATCACTGATTTCAAATCACAAGATATATTTATCACCTCCTGACGTTTGACCGTGTACCATTGTACAAGTTAACCGATTCGTCTTCGCCGTTACATACGGAAGACAGAACAGGATTCCATTCAATTGTCTGAGCAACTATGCAGGTGAAAGGCTGTCACGATGATCCTGACCTAGAACTATAGCTCAGCCGCAAAACTTCCCGTTTGACAAAAGATCATCACCATCGTTGGCATGGAATGAACCTTGAACCGTACAAATATTGTAGGCTTGCAGATGGATCATCGTGGAGACATACTCTGTATACATACGGACTCCGGAGCTCGAGAGTCGGACCAAAAATTGGTCGAATCAACGTTCCGGGCTCCGACTGAATAATCTATGGACAATTCCCATGCTCGGTGTCCCACTGAATTGTACAGTACCTGCCTTCAAATATCATTTTCTACCATATCGTAAGCTTCTTTTCAAACTTCCAGAAGAATGAAACTTTCAATGACCACATCTCCCCGACCCATCAATTCCGTGACCAGCATCATTCACAACTTCACAAGCTTCTTTTTTTACTCTTGAAGCTTCTAGAGATTCCATAAAGCTAAACATAACCACTCACAAGGGATCCAGTAATGCTCATGAGTTGTCTAGACAACTGTTCACCGATGATAGGAGAATTCATGCGTTAGTGGGGGCCATCTTCCTTTCCTTTCTCGTACGTTCACGAGACACAGTGCACATACACAACACATAGGGCAGACATGCGGCGCCAGCACGTCAACATCCTATTTTATCATTCCATTCTCTCCCCATACAGGAAGCGGGCATGATATCCATTGGAGAAATTTCAATCCCGAGAACTTTATTCTCTGAAATGTTACATCTATGACCCTTCGATAGCCTTCTGATGATACTCTGAGTATTTAGGATGAATGCGAAATAAGCAAATTTTTCCATTCTTTTTGAATCAATAATGCAAAAAGAGCTCATTCACACCTTTATTTTCGTTAGCAATCTTTTTTTGGATGAAGATGCGGTGACAACAAATTCTGTATAAATGACAAGGGTAGAGAGAGGGTAGCTCGAATCTCGATAGACAATGACTACGAAGTACAGAAGTCTCGAGAAGGTTGTAAACTTGTGATCCACTAATGTACCCACTAATGCATCCACCAATGCATCCACCAATGGACCAATTGTACCCAATTTTGAGTGGTCCGAGTGTGACTAATCCACAAAAAGCTTAGTCAATATTGGACCCCCTCATGTTCATCGATAACCTCATTTTTGACTGAAGACTTTTTTTTCAAGAGGGAGGGTCCAACAATGGTATGGTCAACTCCTCGCCCACTACAACCAACAATCATGGATGGATGGATTGATTGATTCATTCATTCATTTACAATGGACACATATAATATCCCAATACGGTAATTATAATTATATTTATATTTAATTCAATCATGACCGTAATTCTTCAAACATGTCAAGAATCATTGGCTGGATGGTGAAAATTGCATAAAGTGGATAGAAGATATTCCCATCCAACCTATCAAGACAATTGGTGAGTGGAGGTTAATCTTTTCATGGATTCAATAAATAAATTTTTTCCTTTTACCTCCAAATCTTTGATTCGATTCATCCATTCACCTTGCCGTCCTACCAACCCCTCAATTCTACCCATACAAACCCACCCATTTCCTCCCAACCTTGTCTTTTTTCCTTGCTCATTGTTGGTCCCATCTACCGTATTGGGAAAAAGAAAAGAGCTCACACTCATTGCCTTACCACATCACAAGTCTCTCCGACTTTTTTCTCCCAACCTGCAAGTCAACCTCACTCCATCTCCTCTTTTTCCACCCCCCTTGTGCTACCATCTCACAAGAAGGAAGGGAAAAAAGTGAGTAGAAGAGAAAGTAAACATCCAGGTTCTCTCGGATGTCTCTTTTTCGATACATCTCTCACCTACCATACGCAATCTTCAATCCAACCATGTTCGGTCGTTTGTTAGGTCGTACCGCTTCCCCTCCAAGGGCTATTGGAGCTCCTCTTTCTCGCACAACTACTACTACATCAGGTGGAGAGGATTCAACTACATCTGCCGAGCGTGATGCTAGGGATATAGAAATCGTCGAGGCTGCTATCGAGGAGGCTGTCAAGAAGGCCTTGAACTCGGATGTATTTTCAAATGCTATCGCCACCTCTTTGGTCTCGCAGATTAAACCAGCCTTCGAATCATCCATCAGTTCTATCCCTACCGCCATTCAAAATGTTTCCCTCAATGTTGATGCTGTCGATACCAAACTCGCTGCCACAGCTACCAAGCTTTCTCAACAAATCGATGCTAGCAATGCAGAGACTGCAAGCAAATTAGCTGCCGTCGAAGAAGCTCTTGCTAAGATGACATCTTTATTGGAGGGATTGAGTGAGAAATCTTCTTCTCCTCAAGACACATCGGTTTTGGAATTACACACTACAAAGTTGGATGGAATTGCTTCAGAGGTTGCTGCTCTCAAGAGTGCTACAAATGAGGAAGCATTCAATGCCATCACATCCGACCTTGCTATTATCAAGAGTGATGTTGCCGCCATCAAGGAATCTGACTCAAGTGCTACCTCCAAGGATATCCTCTCTGCTGTTAACTCTTCCAACGAATCTCATGCTTCCCATGCTGCTGTTTTGAACGAAATCAAGTCTGCCGCTGAAGGACATGCTTCAACTCTTGGAGAGATTAAATCTACTCCTGCTTCTGCCCCAACTGATATTTCTGGTCTCGAGAACTCCATCAAGGATATTACTGCTTCCATTGAGGAAATCAAGTCCGCACCTGCACCATCTACTGTCGATATCTCTGGTCTTGAATCATCTGTCAAGGAAATTCTCTCTACATTGGGTGAGGTTAAGGAAACTGTTTCTGCTCCAGCTGCCGCTGTTGAGAAGACTGATATTTCTGGATTGGAAGCTTCCGTTAAGGAAATCTCTGCTACCGTCAATGAAATTAAATCTACCCCAGCTCCAGCTCACGAAACCATCGACCTCTCTCCAATTGATGCTCAACTCAAGGAAGTTGCTTCTAACGTGGCGTCTATCAAGGAATCTACTTCTACACCAGCTGCTATCCCTGAGCCAACTGATATTTCCGGCTTAGAATCTTCTGTCAAGGAAATCATCGCTACTCTCCAGGATATCAAGACTTCTACTGGTGCCGCTCCTAAGGAAGTTGATTTCTCTCCAATCACATCTACCCTCGAATCCCACAAGAGCACTCTTGAGGAGATCAAGTCTTCCGCTTCTGGACCAGTCGATCTTTCTTCTCTCGAATCCTCCGTCGCTGAAATCAAGGCAGCTCTCGAATCTCATTCCGGTACTCTCAACGAAATCAAATCAGTTCCAGCACCAGAAAAGACTGATCTCTCTACCATTGAGAGCTCCGTTAACGAGATTAAGACTATTGTTGAGGAAATTAAGGCCAAGGAACCCCCATCTGCCGAGAAGGTTGATTTAAGCAATGTCGAATCTTCAATCGAATCCATCAAGGTATCTGTTGAGGAAATTAAGACCAAGGAATTCCCAGCTTTCGAGAAGATTGATTTAAGCAACGTCGAATCTTCAATTGAATCCATCAAGGTATCTATTGAGGAAATTAAGACCAAGGAATATCCAGCTGCCGAGAAGGTTGATTTAAGCAACATCGAATCATCCATCGAGTCTGTCAAGGTAATTGTTGAGGAAATCAAGGCTAAGGAGACCCCAGTTGTTGAAAAGGTTGATTTGAGTCAAGTCGAGTCATCGATCGAATCCGTCAAGGCATCTATCGAGGATATTAAGAACAAGGAGACCCCAGCTGTCGAAAAGGTTGATTTGAGTCAAATCGAGTCATCGATCGAATCCGTCAAGGCATCTATCGAGGATATTAAGAACAAGGAGACCCCAGCTGTTGAAAGGGTTGATTTGAGTCAAATCGAGTCATCGATCGAGTCTATCAAGGTATCTGTCGAGGAGATCAAGACAAAGGAGACCCCAGCTGCCGAAAAGATCGATTTGAGTGCTATTGAGGCATCGATTGCCTCTGTCAAGAGCGCGGTTGATGAGATCAAGGCTAAAGAATCACCAGTTCCAGAATCAGTTGATTTGAGCAAGATTGAATCTTCCATCGAGTCTGTCAAGTCCATTGTTGAAGAAATAAAGGCCAAGGAAGCTCCAGCTCACGAAAAGATCGACTTGAGCGTAATTGAGGCATCTATTGCTTCAGTTAAGAGTACCGTTGATGAAATCAAGGCTACTCCAGCTCAAGAACAAAAGGCAGTTGATCTTTCCAACATTGAGTCTTCCATTGCAGCTGTTAAGGCTACAGTGGATGAGATTAAGGCTACCCCAGCCCCAACTCATGAACCTACTGACCTTTCTAACATTGAATCATCTATTGCTGCCGTCAAGTCATCCGTCGATGAAATCAAGGCTGCTCCAGCACCAGAGAAGATTGATTTAAGCTCAATTGAATCATCTATCTCCGAAATCAAGGCAGCTATTGAAGAAGTCAAGGCATTACCTGCACCAGAAAAGATTGATCTAAGCTCAATTGAATCATCTATCTCCGAAATCAAGGCAGCTATTGAAGAAGTCAAGGCATCACCTGCACCAGAAAAGATTGATCTAAGCTCAATTGAATCATCTATCTCCGAAATCAAGGCAGCTATTGAAGAAGTCAAGGCATCACCTGCACCAGAAAAGATTGATCTTTCTAACATTGAGTCTTCCATCGCCTCCGTTAAGACTACCGTTGATGAAATTAAATCTACCCCAGCTCCATCCTTCAAGGAAACTGACATCACTGGTCTTGAATCATCCGTCAAAGAAATCATCACAAGCATCTCTGCTCAAGATGGTGTCTTGACTGAAATTAAGACTACAACTGAGAAATTCGATACTAAGGAAGTTTTGACCAAGGTTGAGTTGATTGCTCAAGAGGGTGTTTTCTTGAATGAGAAGGGACTTGGTCAAATCAAGGACAATGTTAAGACTATTGAGTTGAAGTCACCAGCCACACCAACATCACCAACTACCCCAACTTCCCCAACATCTCCAGGATCTCCATCATCTTCGACATCCCCATCAAAGTCTACCCTTAAGAAGAAGAAGAGAAAGGCGGCTGCTGCTGCCGCTGCTGCCGCGGCCGCATCAGGAAATGCTACTCCTGAGGCTAAGTCCGAAGCCGAGAACGAACAAACGGCTTAAATATTCTCTTTGATTTTTAATCGGTTCAGTTAGGGGGATCTTTACGACAAGGAGAGAGCAAGTTAAGGGTGTATGACGCTGGAGGATCGAGTGGATAGATATGATGAATGTCTACTAATAATGGACAAAATGACAAATATATGGAGGAGCTAATAATGATGATGTAATGGGGGGATAGTCTTCTAAGATGTCTAATGGATACCAAAACTTTGTATACATTTCTATCATATTTTTGAGCATTTGCATTTGTATTTACTGTGGCTTTTGCTTGATTTGCATTACACATTTCGCAATGTTTCATTGCATTGCATTGTTTGCAAATATGCGAGCATTATACCCGTCTCTTGCTTTGTTGATGCAGGTGTGTATTTATCGAGATGGGGGATGAGTGATAGTCGGTGGTGATAGTTAGCAGCGAAGGGGGAGGGGGTAAATAGAAATATGTGCTTTTATCTTGAACTTATGACTTTTGGGTTTGAATTGAATCGTATGTGCTTGTGTTTGTGTTTGTACCTGTGCGTATGCGTATGCGGGTGCGGGTGCTACAAAGTTGTACTTGTGATACTCACACAGCTTTCAAGATGTTACATCCCCGCAGAACAAAAAGAAACATTTCGGGTCGGGGATGTGGTGTGGTGTGATGTGGTGTGTCGTGATACCTGATTTTCTTCCCCAGCCAAGACGGAATTTCATAGGGGATTGCACAGTGGCTTGGGATTGGTGGGAGGTGGAAGTGGATTTGAATACTTGGAGTGAGGTTGTGGATTATGGGATTGGTGTTGTAGGTGTATGTATAGGTATAGGTGTAAGTGTAGGTGTAGGTGTAGGTGTAAGTGTAAGTGTAAGTGTATATGTGAGTATGTGATTTATATTTTGGAAGATTTCTGTTTGGAGGAGATGAGGGGGAGATGAAGGAGAGATGAGGGGAAGATAAGAGAGAGATGAGGGAGAGATAAAAAAGAGATGAGAGGGAGATGAAGAGGAAATGAGAGAGAGATGAGAGAGAAATGAAGGGAAGATAAAGAAAAGATAAAGGGGAGATAAGGGGAAGATAAGGAGGAGATGAGAGAGAGATGAGGGGGAGATAAGGGGGGGAGATAAATAATTAGGGAAGCAGAAAACAGAAATGAGAAATGGGAATGGAAAACTAGAAATGCAGGGGTTTATGAACTTTGCTTTGTACGCAGTTAGATAGTGTGGTAGGGAATGGATTTTTGGGGCGAGAGAGAGGAGAGAGAGAGCGAGAGGCGAAGGGGGAGGGGGAGGCGAGGGGGAGGGGAATCGAAGATGTAGGGAATTGAAGGATTAAATGAATTGAAGTCTTGTGTTTTGTGTTTTGTTGTTGGGTCATTCATTTTAGTCAAGTTGTCATAGTTTCTTTCTTTCTGTTTTTTCTATTTTTTCTAGGTAGAGTGTGCAGAGTGCAGAGGGGGATAGATTTTGGTAAGAATACTGTTTCGTCTTCTTGTTTTGTTTGTCTTGTTTTTATTGTCTCTTGTGTCTTCTTGTGTCTTTGGGTATTTCTGCTATTTTATTCTGAGTGTAATTGTTATCCTTTCGCTTTTTGTTCTTTTTTTGCTGGCTGCTAGTCTGCTCGTCTGCTGCTGTGGTATGGCATGAGGTTTGTGTTTTTGGATCGATGAGGTTTATTTGCTGTGCTATATTGTATTCTATTGTATCGTGTATTTTCACTTGAATCTTGGGGAAAGGGGATCAGGGGGAGGGGGAAGGGATAAACGAATAGACTGTATTGTATTGTTTTGTATTGTTGCACCAATATTTCAGGTGAAATCAAATTCTGAGTCTAAGTCTAAGTCTAAGTCTGAGTCTGAGTCTGAGTCTGAGTCGGGGTCTTGAACGCAGATTCATATTCATATTCATATTTTGCATAATGAATGGTGGGGTTTGAATGGAGATAAATTTAATTGAGATGAGACTTTTGGTACTTCCATCTGTAGTTCCATGTTTGTATTTTGGATAGAGTGGAGGATATGATATGTATGACGGGGTGATATTTCTCATGGGGATTTCTTCCGCAGGTTTTCATCTTATTTCGAGTGCGTGTGGATACGCATGGGATTATTGCGGAAAAAGAGTTGAAGACGGGGGATTTTAGATTTTTGAAACTTATTCATCTCTTGTGAAAGGAAAAGGAGAAAGGAAAGGAGAAATTTAAAATGCCACCCTCTCATCAACGACATCGTCGATCCCCTTTCAAACGCACTTCATTCCGTCGTACCTCGTCGGGTTCGAGTTCTCTGAGGTCATTTTCGCAGGTCCAGGCTCGTTCTGATACTCACGTTCAGGCTTCGTTCGCAAACTCCGAGATATCGGGATGGGAGAAAGATGATGGGTTGATTCGAAATGTGGAGACGGATAAATATTCTGTTAGTTTTCGGCCTGCGGTTACGGTGACGCTTTGTCGAGATGAGGTGGCGGTGGTGAGGAAGGTGGATGGAGGGACTTCTCAGTCGCGAAATCAATCCCATGTACTCCGGTGTGAAAATGAAGGAGGGGTGGAGGGGAGAGATATAAGTTTTTCTGCAAGTAGTGTGTATTCTATCAATACGCTTGGATATGCCACTGCGGATCCTGGTAAAGATATAGATAATGGTTCGTACATGTCTTGTTCATCTATCCCAACGGTTCCGGAACTTTCGCTTGAGATGTCCACGTCGACTTTGACTTCAAGATCTGAGGTTTCTGTTTCTGATGCTTTGGGTTTGAATGTTATAAGGAGAAGTGATAGGGGAATGGGGATATCGATAGCGAATATATGTATGGAGAGGTGGAAAAATTTTGAAAGGGCGAGGGGATTTCTAGGGGATTGGAGAATGGGGGATGGGGGTGGAGATGGAGAGGAAAGGGAAAGGGAAAGGGGAAATGAATTAAGAAATAGGAATGAGAATGGGAATGGGAAAGAAAAACGTGAGAAGAAAATAAGGTCTTTTCTGAGGAAATACTGTCTTCATCCTTTTAGTATGAGGAGTAGTTTTCGCTTGGTAGGGTGGATTGAGGATCCGATTGGTAGTTGTGTGGGGTGAGTTGATTTCTTGTATTTATTTTAATTTTGCTTCGTTTTGTTGGTGGATTTTTTTGAGACTCTGGAGAGAGGAGGGGAAGGTTTGATGTATTGTGGAGGAATATTGAGATTTTGGGTTCGAGGGTTTGATTAGGGAAGTTGAGGTGAGGATACTTGTTGTGGGGATGGATAGGTGGATGGTCATTTTCGCGTGTTTTCTTTCGTTTGGGAGTTGATTGAATCTCTTTTTATTTCTTTTTCTTCTCTGTAGAGTTGATATACTCTCCTATCCACTTTTCTCTCTCTCTCTCTCTACTCTTATTTTTCCGCTTATTTTCCCGCCCCCCCCTCTAATACTAAAACCTACAACCCCGCTTCCTATATCACTTACTCATACTGTCACTTTCAAAGCTAATAATCATCCGTATATAGTCACGACACAGCCTATGCGACGGGATATGCGACGGGATATGCGACGGGATATGCGACGGGATATGCGACGGGATATGGAGAGGTAAGAACGGGGTATGCATATGGAGGGGAAATAGGAGATGCGAGGTTATGGGATGAAGCGAGACGGAGCGGATGGGAGGGGGGACTGTATTGAGGAAAGAAGAAATGAAATGAAAGCTCGTAATGATAGTGAGGGAAATGATGGGCGGAAGGATAGGAGTGATTCTGTGTATCTGTCTATTTCTGGACTAGGTTCATAAGTGGTCTGCTTGTATATTTTTGTTTATCTGGATTTTGTTGGTGAATGACTGATACATCTTTTTCTTTTTGATTCTTGATTATTTCTCTTCGTCAACTGTTTTGGTATCTCTCCTCCTGATTGCGTTTATTGCTTATACCTTCCATGACTTCCCCTCTTCTTCCCCTGCTTCTCCTCCTCATGTAGTCCTATTTCTAACCTCTACTCTTTTTCGCAAATTCTCTAATTAACTAGCGTCAGATGGTAGTAATATGATGAAAAGAAATAGTGTCGATATTTTATAGGTCTGTCTGATGTTTTAGGATGTGCTTGAGAATCAAGAAAAAGACACAAGAATTGTATAGTGCTGGAGTTGGGAGGATATGTATGAATTATAGCATGAGAACGACACTATAATTTAATTCTTGTACATATACCTATTCTAAGCAATACTTGATAATTAATGATTAAATTTAACGTTAGGATGACATGTGTCACCTTCAATTTAGTCAAGTCTAAAGCTTGTTTGTCTAGCTGAAAGTTGAGTATATATATATTAGCTCATTCGCTAGATGAAAGAATGCGGGGTTGATGTAAGGAGAAGCGAGAGGATATTCAACGTATATGTCTTTATTATATCGGTAGTTGTTATAGATATGAGCACAAAAGTATAGGTCAATTTAATGTAAGAAACGTAGATCGAGAATAATTCCCGGATATCCAATTATGCATGAAAATTGAAGATTATATTGATAATCTCGGGTTTTGCTTCATATCCTGTCTAGTAGGTATATTAAAACTCTTTTTTTGTCAGAATCATGAGACCTCGGATGATCTTCCATCACCAAATCATACGTATAAGCATGTTCCTCTCAATTCCGATTCTCTGTTTTCCCACCTCACTAAATTCACTTCGCAAGTACACAACCACAAACATGCTTCTGACAAACAATCACAGTAGATGAGCTCCTTACTCTAGCCTGGCTCTCCTTAGTGACCGCTGTATATTTTGGCTATGCAAATATAATCATATAAAGCACATACCTCATTCGCAAGTATGTCTTTCTTTCTGTTTCAAACATATCTCCATTCGAGTTCCTACCGGGAGTCTCTATTTAGATATAACTTGTAGTTGACGCTTTGTGATTTCTTCTATACTGTTGAGGTTATATTTGATTAGTGTTTGGCGTTAGACAATGTGAGAGTGTGGTACTTGAGGGTGGAGAGACGAGGAGACGGGAGACGAATTGGTGACTTTGCATAGGTTTACAAAGAGGAACAAAGTTTCGAGATTGGAAAGCAGATTTAGGAACAGAGAGGAAAGAAGAGATGAGAGAAAGTGATGGAAATATTGAAATTAGATTATATGAAGAAGAATTATTGTTATTCTCAACAGGATCTTGAGAGAGAAACTTAAATGTAGGCAACTTCAAGAACTCTTGGGTGGTATCCTCTAGCAAATTCATGGATATATCGCAATGAAATGTCCTGGATACTATTTTTCTGATCTCACTTTGTACTCCGCTGACTGTAAATTCTACTCGTCTAACACTAATTGCTCAAACTTAAAAGTACAACCATTCCCCTTTGAAATGCTTGCGACAACATTTTCCAAACATTATACGCGTGAAAGTATAGTCTAGGAGTAGGGAGCTCGTTCAGTACACTGGCAGATATTATAGTATGCTCGGAGTTCTCAGTTCCCAATCCCTATTCTACTGATAAGTTCACTTCGATTTTTGCCCCCCAAGAATTGTGATCAGAGGGGTAATGCAAACTTGTTATGATGTGGGAAATGCGGAAGAAGGGAGGAATGGTTTTTAATAGCCCATAAAGTTGATTGAATATTGTGGGAAAGTTTAGGCAGTGAAAAAAAGCATCAGAGAGCTATAGGAATGGTGCCGAGTTCCAAATAGGAGAGTTGAACGAACACATAACACATGAACATGAAATAATTAGGGACTTCGGATAAAGAAGAAGTTGACTGGTGGCCTGCAATATGATGGTTAACAGAATCTATATGTTTGGGAGCGTCACATCATGCTATTTTCAGAGAGCATTATACTTGATGATAGATGAATTTATTTGTAAAGAGTCTATGCCACCCACGCAGTGATGCTTTAATACTACTATAGATATAAAACTCTAGCCGGAGTCAATCCAAACGCCAACGGTATAATATACCATAGTATACCAGCATCAACTAAATTACCACCCCATTTTATTCATTATCATCATTCTCATCCTCATCATCAATAGATTCCACAATCAAGTTCGCACTCTTGCCAACTCTCTCCCCAATTGTTCCTCCCCCTTCAATCCCATACACTTCTCTCGGTATGCTTTGCACTAATCTGAAATTATATTTGTGTTCATATCCTTCCGGCTTTTGCCTATTGTACTCCTTGCCAGTTTCAAGTAAATCATGGCATTCGACAAATGCGTAAAGTTCTTCGATTCCTGAATTCGCTTCGAAACGTCGAGTAATTCTAGCGCCTTCTGGCATTCTCAATGCAACTCGAACAACATTCGTTCCTGGCTCAGGTTCTGGTTGAATGGCTTGTACTCGCCATTGTTTCCATTGTTTTCGATTTTCGGCTAATTTGGCAGCAGCTTCTGCTTCTTCCTTCCTCCTCTTTTCTTCTGCTGCAGCCGCGGCTTCTGCTTCCTTTCTCTGTCTAGCACGTTCTCTATCTTGTGCTAAAGATTGCTCATAGGCAGAATCTTGTTCTTCTCTTAATGTGCGTTCGAAGTTTTGCGCTGAACGTTGTGCACGAACTGCAGCCAATTTCTCGGAATGCTGTCCCATTGCGCTTTGTAATTTCGCTACGAATGCGCCAGGTGCTTCTTGTCCAGAGATTCTAGCAATAACCGACATTGATGTAGCTCCTTGGTCGGGTGTATGGGTAATTAAGGCTGTGAATGGAAATTTGGTACATCTCAAAGCCGAAGAGACTTGATATGCTTCTGAATCGCGTACATCTCCCATCCAAAATATTATGTTATTGGTTTTATTCCCGAGAAATGAGGTAACTTCCTCGGAAAGCAAAGTTTGGTGCACAAAATCGGATGTATCGTCATGTTCCGGAGACATTAAATGAACAATAAGGAATTTTAAATCTTTTTTTGCAAGATCCAATGCTTGCGCATAACCTCCATCGAAAAATGGTATATTGTTTGGTCCATATTCTTCCTCGAACTCCCGCTTTGTGCGTGTTGCTGCATCTCTCGGTTTGAGTGACCTCCGTCCCATTGTGTTTGATGCGCCGGTAGGTCTGAACCTTGGTAGGAAAGGAAACAAAAATGCAAAGGCTCTATATCCCATCGAGAAAATTTTGTAGAGCACACTGAATGGTGCGAATAGTATGGCGAAAATAAGATTTGGTCTTCGAATTACTTGATCCTCCGGCTGAGGAACAATTCTTGGAGCCGAGTCCACATTTTGAGCTCTCGATCGATTTGAGGATTCGTTGAGAAGACTATATTGAAGGTTTTCTTGTCTCGAAGCTCGAGGAGGTGGAACGTTTTGAGCTGCTAGCCCTGCTGCTGTCAAAGAATCATCTTCGCCGTCAAAGAACTTTGCGATTGCAATCTATCAAGAATTAATACAAAGATGGATATGGGATCATTGAAGGATAAGGCTCGAATTCTTACCTCAACACTCCATTGTGATCTCTGCAATAGAGGGACTGCTTGATCTACTTCTTGACCAGTTACCGCAAGTAATTGTTGTAAAGCTGCCTGCTGTGTTTCGGACAGCTGGCTGATATCGGTATCTGGAGTAGCCATTGTTTGTGCTGTCAGTTTGTTTGTCGTGTTGTCCAAAAGACAGAAGTTACTTGAAATATTTTTGCATGTTCAGTAGAAATGATGAATGCCGTAGTAGTGGCCAGATAATAGTGAATCGTTCTTTATATTCAAATTAAACTTGGTGTGATATCACGATTCACTAGGGAGATATTAGCTCAGAAGTACGGAAACAGCAGTTCTAGAATTAATGATGATTGTTCAATGATTGAGCCACAGATCGGTATCGGATAAACTAAGTTCCCGCTCAAGCCACAACAAGGCTGAAAATCTGGATCCACCTCTTTATCGGATCGCATTAACTTCTGGTGCATCACCACCAGCCAGCCAATGTTCCCACCTTCAAAGAAACCTCCACCCCGCGTCATATATATTATGATATCTTCAGCCTCAACACGACTATTAGTCTAAACTTTCATTGAATGTGCTACATGTCACATTGGTTTTGATCTGTCTGTTCCTTGGCAGGATTCTTTGTATAGCTCTTATGTTGAATATCATTTCTACTCATTAAACCTCACACAAGGACCAATCTTCGTCTTATTGGATTTTAGGAAATGTCAGCCAGATTCAAGTGAGCAAGAAGCATATCCATCACTTACTCCCTTCATTTTACCCCTTTTACGTGTCGCTGCGGTCAATTTCCTTTTGGAAACGCTAGATGATACTTGAAACCACCTCATTAGTTGAATTGAACCGAGCTAACATGATTCCTTTTCATTAGGCTTCCTAAAGTGTCATTGGGGTCCGGCAGATAGTTCTCTTCACCTTGAAGCAAGAATTTGAAATATAATATAAAACAATGGCGGCTACAAGATTCAATCAACCCGAACTCCGCAGACCGACGAGTTCTCCGAGGCCGAAAGGACGTGGTATGTTTTATGCGCATTCTTGGCTTGATATGCACAGGAAATGAAAACGGATATTGATGAAGCTGTACTAGAAAACGCGAAGGATACCCTATGTCGAAATGTTCTGATATATGGGCATTGCCGTTATGAGGATCAAGGTTGTGCCTTTAATCATGATCCTAACAAGGGACTTGGAGGAATAATCGATCAGTGAGTTTGTTTTCAGTTTCTTCGGATTCAAATAAGGGATATGAACCTCTTCAATTTCGATCTCGCCAAATATTTGGACTTTCAAATAAGTTTCGCCTTGGACTTTGGAAATGGTCGTCATCGGTATTGGAATTTAATGGAGTTGAATTCCGAATGAATTGGCATTCTGTTCACTACTATGGGGCCAAGTGCCCAAATCCCATGACTCGCTGCGCTGGATAGGATTCCTTTCCTCGAATTAGTCTACCTCCATGGCAATGGCCCTTGTAGAGCCAGCGGATCCTCATTCCAGCTAAAACTGAGATGTATTTCAATGGCAACTATGGAAAATAACATTTCGATCCTATATTGGGAAAGTTACGTGTTGCTTTGAATAAACAGACTGTTGAATGATTTTCCGGGTCGTTGTCACCATATACTTTGCAATGTGTGGCAGTCTCTGTTTTTCAAGAACAGAAGGAAATGATCTGGAGCTGTGATAGTCCCCCGAAGTTCGCTTTCGTCGATTCGAATATTGCGCAAAGCCTGTCTCGGCATTCATACTTGATGTTGCAACTGGTCAAATTCCTTTTCCACTATACAAAAACTGTCTAACTTCGGGGGTATTTGGACCATGGTTACTCATTTCTGGCAACTTACCCAGTCTCGTGGTTGGCTCCTGCTGTTATAGGATCGTCGTGGGGGTGCTACTTGCCTATTCTGTCTTTATTGCGACTCTATTCGAATTGCATATCGTTTTGATACCAAACTCGATCTTTCTACTCTTCATTGCACAACCATCTCCTGTAACATCAAGAACAACAAATTTTTATCGACATGCAGGTTTTAGTCAATAAAAATCTCAGCAAAGCAGCTCCCAGATCACATTCTACATCTTTGGACTGTACGGACTCGATGGATTGCCAAATCTAAGTTGACCACAAAGAATGGATAATACATGGCAGAGGTCATGGTTGGTCAAGGCCCAAAAGGATCACACAGTTTTTCAAAAACAAGGCGTTAACCCCATAAAAAGTCCTCGCAAAAGAGTTTGGAAAGATAGAAATACTTCGGGTTCGACAGACTATTCCCCAACCAGCAGTCAGACAGAATTTAATCATTCTTCAATCAATCCGCAAGAACAGAGTCGTTCTGCAATACCTTGTCATCGCGGAGATTTGGGATCGAATGAGATGCCAGGACAAAAACTTCCATTGTCGAATGCTAACTTTAACGACGATAGGCCAAAGAAAGCACTGAACGTAGATTCGCCTTCTTTCACACCAGCAACCATATCCTCATCCAATAAAGGAGTATCTTCAATAACTTCGCAAGCTGCAAATGCAGCTCCATTCACTCCTCGAGGACTCACGAGTGGGACTGCCACACCAAATGCACCGCTCGACCCAGAGATACCTCAATTTAATCCAACACAGAGAGACTTTACTCCACAGAACTATGATCTCTCTCAGACTGTAAGCGCACCACTTCAGCTATCCTTAACTATTACATCCATGTCCAACTTAGGCATGAGAGTATTTATTGGTTATTGAATCAAGTACTGATATAAAATAAGCTACCCACCAACGGTGCCACACCTGAAGCTACATATGATCCTTTCTCGATGGGAAATGTCTCTCAAGCGATTCCTGCCACATTTCAGAACCACTATTCTGAAGACCTTGGCATTTTAGCAGGAGCAGGTGTAGCAGGTGGAGGAACAGGTGGAACTTACTTTCAAGGACAACCAAGCTATAATGTCCAGCCTCTAAATTACCACCTTTACGCCCCGATTGGTCCACATGCGGATAATTTGACGCCTTATCAAAAATCTATCCATGATCTTTTCCTCTCCGACCGGCTTCGTGAAGACCTTCAAAGAAAGTCTGAAGCCGTTCAACAAGTAATGCCAAGTAAGTATAAGAAATATTATGATGGTTTCATGACTAATCAAACTAGATGCCCTTCCGAACATTGGTGTGTCACCGTATTCATACTATTCTCTCGTCGCTCTAGACACAACTCAGAATAGGAGCACCACTGTTTTTGGTTGCACAAGTTGGGTATACAAAGCGCGTTCAGAAAAGAATAACAAATATTACTGCTTGAGACGACTAGAAGGTGGGATAGCTACATACATTCCTTGTTATGAACGAGTACTAACGAATGATAGGCTATACTCTTGCTAATGATAAAGCCATACGAGCCATCAAGAAATGGAGTGAAGTCAATAGTGCGGGTATAGTATCATTCATTGATGCTTTTACTACACGACAATTCAAAGATGGTAGTTCACTAATCATTGTCACAAATTACCATCCACTTTCAAAGACTCTTTTGGAGCATCACTTTTCCACCACAACTACAAGCCGTTATAGAAATCAACTTCCTCGGATATCTGAAGACACTCTTTGGTCATACATTGTACAAATCACAGTTGCAATCAAGGCTGTTCATCAGGCTAATTTTGCTGTACGATGTATGCATTTGAGTAAAGTTATTCTTACAGACAAAAATCGAATTCGTCTTAATGCATGTCCTGTCTTTGACATCTTACATTACGATCAACGTCGGGATATCAAGGAACTTCAATATGAAGATTTACATTTATTCGGCATACTTATGTTATCCTTAGCCACAGTCAATGCATCAATTACACCTCAAACCAACCCTCAAATTTTGCAAACCAACATTGATAGCCTTAGCCGAATTTACTCTGCAGAACTTGTCGATACAATAACGTGGCTTCTCACAACTCCTTCTTCTCCGGAGACTAAAGAATTACAAACTTTCATGCGAGGGATCTCCGGCCGTATGGCCACTGCCTTCGATAGCTCCCTCCAAGCGAATGACGAATTAACCTCCGACCTCTGTCGTGAGCTTGAGAATGGTCGACTCGTCCGCTTAATGGCTAAACTCGGCAATATTAATGAGAGACCAGAATATGAAAATAACCCTCAATGGAGCGAAACCGGAAATCAGTATACTTTGAAACTCTTCAGAGATTATGTGTTTCATTCGGTTGATCCGGAAGGAAGACCAGTTACGGATATGGGATGGATTTTAAATTGTTTGAATAAATTAGATGCGGGGAGTGATGAGAAGATTCAATTGACCAGTAGAGATGGAGAAAATTGCTTTATTGTTAGTTTCAAGGAGCTTAAGAAACAAGTCAATACTGCTTGGGGGGATTTGCAGAAGCCGGGGAAGAGATTTTAGCGTGGTTGATCAAGAGGAGTAAAACCTAGCTTGATGGAAAGTGAATTAGCGATGCATTGGAAACAAATAGTTGTCGTTATTGACATCATGAATAAGGCTTATGAAAAGCTTACATTTAGTGGACTTTGATGAGGTGCGGGTATAATTGGGAGGGGAGAAATGGGATGACAGCGAAATATTGAATTAGAAAAGCACAAGTAGGAGAAACAATCAAGGAAATTCATTTTATGATATGTGTCTGCCTTGTGAGTGTTGACATTTGATGCTGGGGAATAATGGAGGGATATAGAATCAGATGTGTAAAATACATTGTGATCGCTAGCAAGTGAGAATCCAAGTGGGTTATGTAAAGTCTTTCCCCTCGTCCTAAGAGGTATGCATTGGTTGCACATATCAATGGTGAACTACACCAAGGGAAGAGAAATTGAGGATTCATGGCACGCATGTCCCCATTCACTGCGAGTAATAATCAGTAAGAAGCAATACTTACACAATTCTGTATACCTCTAAGCGGCCGCGAACAATTTTATATTTCAACAACTGAGAAAATGACAACGAAAATTCCCAGGTGAAAAAGGTAGGGAGCTCCTTGGATTTCGAGGTTGCATTGGGATTTGATGGTGATGAGATATGGAATTCCCTGTGGGTGTCATGGTAAGATATCTATCTATATCTCATGCAAGGCTGTTCGAATGCAAGTTAGCTTGTTAAATGTGACCAAGGGTGTGAGCTCATGGGTAGAGTAGGATGGTGGTGGAGATAGCAATCAACTTTGGAGAGTGAGAGGGTAACGATTCTAATTACTTGAGAAAGAAGATGCAGATACGTATACTACGATTAGGGAAGACCTGACGACGATAATAGAACAACGGTTTGGAAAAGAGGTATTGAAAAATAGCTGATATGAGTAACGAATAACTTCTGTATATCATTAATACATACATATCTTGTAACACCTGGGCACTACCTACTATTCACCTAGGTAGGTATCATTTTAGAAAAGAGAAGCTTCAAATATGCAGAACGACCGGCTAGATTCACTAAACTCTCCTGGCAGGGACGTTTTGGATAATGCAAGCAAACGCTTCTAGATTTATACCCAGTATTCAACCGTTGGACTGGCACCAGTCCCGAAGTCTCTAGATGAAATGCTCGTTGTCGGTCTCAATACCACGCCCTCAGTGATCTCGTGATACCGTTGCCACGTGATCATTCTCCAATTTAAGGCATCATATCCATATTCACTCAGAATTCCAGATTTGAAAGCAGAGTAATCACTAAAATGAGAAACTGATGTTAAATAAATGGATCATCAGTATTCACTTTTTCCTATTTGAGAAATTGGGAGATGAAAATGAGTATTCTGCCTAAACTAAGCCGAAAATGATTAGCTGCTGTTGTTCAATACCAGGCGTACCTGGATCTTACATCAATGATATCAAATCCTGAACAATCTTGCAATACTATCTCCTGTTCTTTCTTAGGCAGGGCAGGCAGAGCATTCTAGGATCAAATCATCATCAACCAGGCATTTCATGTTGATCAAACAAATGGTCTGAGCGACGGAGTATAAATTCCAACGACCATTCTCATGGCAAACACCAACCACATCCGTTCGTTCCATCGTCTCTACACACAACTATCAAAACGACAAAAAGTGAAAAGATTCTCCAAGCCTTCAACAATGCCAGATTATCCAGGTCTCGGCCTTCCCCTGCGCCATGATCCACAAAGCCTTTCCGACGACACAAGTCATTATCCAATTGGTGCCCATCACGGCTGTTGGGGTGCGACGTCCAAATTAATTTATGTCCGAGAGCTGGCCATGATGAGCGTCATGGATCGTCTCACGGATAAGGAAGATTGGCACAAGAAAGTCTTCAACGAGGAAATCGTGTCCAAGTGGCGTGCAGAAGCTCTAGCTATTCCAGACGAACAATTTTGGATAATGGCAATTCGTGATAAGCAACAAAATCGGAGCTACGACGACACTATTCACTCGAATCATGATAGACTTGACAGACAGCTAGAGGGAACCATGAACACCAGTACTTTTGATTGTGTAAGTGCCTCTCCGCACAATGTCTTCTGTTACTAACCTGATGTTGAAAAGTGTATCGAAGAACTTCGAAGCAAGGCCAAGTATTATGAGAAAACCAGTGTCATTCCAACTCTTGACGCCTGCGCGTCTGTTGCCAAATCGGATCGTTTGGTCTCTGCTGAGCTCCATAGATCTCTGCGCGACGCGTTTGATACGCTCAAGAGGGATCAATCCTCATCACTCGACTGGCATCCAAACTCGAGTGAAATGGTTCAAGACCTTGTACATCCTTCAATGTACCCTTTAGTCTACGGTCGTAGCCGAGTCATGAAAGATGAAGTCGTTGGAGTCAGTGATGCCGTTGAAAAATGGGCAGGAAAAGGTGAAATCATCCCATTGGGAGGGGCAAGCGCCACGACTAAGGGATATCAAAGTTGGGGCGCAGGACTAAACCATTATTGGTCAGACAAGTATCAATGGTTGCCCGCAAATATAGCTTTCCAAGAAGATGGAACAGTCAAATTTACCAGTTACATCAACAACATTCATCCAACCAAGTACCCTGAGATTTACAGGACAATTGAAAAGTTGGTCGAGACTACTCTTCCCTTATGGAATCAATGTCTTGCTCTTAATACAAACTATGATAAAAATCATGGTGCGGGAAGAATAGAGCCTCGATTCCCGTACCCTGATGACCGGGAGTAGGTGTTTCCCCCAATCCTTTCGGGATAATTATCTTAATTCTGACTTGATTCCAGCGACGAAAATCCGGAGCTATGGAATCCTCCGCGCGCTGAGCAAGTAGTTGGCGAAAAGAAATCCGATTTCGGCAGTGGCAATGAAGATGAAATAGATATCGAAGGCATTGACAATGAAATAGAAGAGGAAGAAGCTGAAGAAAAATGGAGGGAAATACGCAAACCCGTCATTCCAGAGCCTTTTTTCGAAGATGTTGACTATTCAATCAAGCTTCGCATTGAACATCAATTTCAAGAGTCCGGTCTCCAAATCATCATTAAGATGGCATCTATTGAACTTACTCCGGAAAAGCCTGAATTTCCGGCGGGGAGTTGGCATGTGAGTGAAACTGTCTTATCCAAAAAGAGTCTAACGCTAACATAAGTCAAGATCGAGGGACAAATGAATGAGCACATTGCCGGTACTGCGCTCTACTATCTTGATAGTGAGAATATCACTTCGAATGATCTCTCATTCCGTATGCAGACACCAGAGCAAATTGACGATGAACTCGGAACTGGACAAGATGCCTACTCTTGGCTAGAGCAGGTCTTTGGAACAAATCTGGGGCAGGGTGATTCCCCGTGTCTTCAAAATTATGGTAGTGTCGAAACACGTCAGGGAAGATTACTTGCTTTTCCTAACGTCTTGTAAGTAGATGGCTTGGTTCTTTAAATATTGGGTGCTAACGCATGAAAAAGTCAACACAAAGTTTCTTCTTTTCGCTTAGAAGATCCGACCAAACCAGGCCATCGACGATTCATCGCCCTATGGCTCGTAGACCCAACCTTGCGTGTTATTTCCACCGCCAATGTTCCACCGCAACGATTGGATTGGTGGGTCGACTCTGTATTTAGAAATAGCCCCGAGGCTCGTAAAGCAGCTTTGTCGAAGCTTCCTGCGGAGTTAGTAATGCTCTTGAATGAGAATGGCTTGAATGCGGATACTTCGGCAAAAGATATGAAACTCTCCCCGGAGTTGATGGAAATGGTGCGAGAGCACTTTAATACCGGTGGTAATCCATTACTTATGGGGATTGAAGAGACTAAAGAGCATAGACTCAAACTGATGGAAGAACGTGGCGCTTTTGTGAGAACGGCTGGACAGGAATGGCATAATTCAGGTTATAATTTCTGTGAGCATTGAGTTGATTGTACATTTCGCGTCATGTCGATCTGGAAGAAATCATTTCGCTTCAGTGGAAATCCGCATTTCATGGCCTAGCAATTAAGTGTAGAGAGGCAGGTTGTAATGGAAGGTATGGATGGGGTTGAAACAAAAACTTTGGCTCTTTGATTTGGAGTACGATTCCCTCGGTTAGTTTTGAAGATTTTGGCGGTTGTTGAAATCATTCCCAACTTCTTGATGGCATGATTTTCCATTCTGAAGAAGACCTATTTAATTTCAGATATTGACAAAAGTTTACATGCACAAATTCTTTCAGTGTCGGGGCATGCATGTGTAATGTTTGATGTGAGTGCTCACTTTCGTTTTACATTATCTTAAGAACGTCTCGATACGTTGATTGTTCTATTGCCAGTTTCGACTCTGCTACTACCTCCCACAAAAAATAGACGCCCGGTGAAAAGATTTTTGATCCCTTTCTAATTCTCATCTTCTTTCGCTGGAGCAATACAAGAATATAATGACGATAAAAATGCGGCACTCCTAGACAACTTGCACGATAGAACGTCGCTGGTGGAATTTGTGTGCAATATTTTGAGAGACGTATAAATGATAGGGTTTGTTTCGTAGCTTGCCAGGTGATTGAGATTGGGGAGTGAATTAGAAACAGCGGAATGGAGTGAGGGGAACAGGACTAGAGATTCTTCCTGTGACGTGAATAGTCGCTTTATATAGTTTGATTGACCCTTGACTGATTAGAGACCTAGTAGGATTAAATTTAGTGGTGTCAAGAATAGTCGGGATTAATACGATCAACCTCTTCTTCATATCTGAGTAGTATAATTCAACACCCCCTCCCTCCTTTTCCCTCCTCCTTAGGTATTGCGTTTGGAGGCGTCAACGTTGGCAGTCAGGAGATCTTGACCCCCAAGAATCAACCTTATGCTCTGTTGAGGAATATTCTCGCATGTGCTTGCGGAATAGTGTGACCACAAATCTTTCAGGGAATGTTAATTAGGAAGCCTTTGATATGATGGTAGGAGATATGCGGCGATGATGCGAGTACTATCAATCAGTAATGAACGGAGATGAAAATGATAGTGGCATGTATATATGACAGCAAGACCTTCATTAATTCCACAATCTTCAGGATCTCTTGGTGTGAAGATTGATGGGATATGAATTTGTATGAAATACTCAATATACCACAATTTCAATTGGATTTCGGAACTCAGTCTGATCGCCTCTTTTGGATGACAATTAATCATTATGATTTGCTGTTATAGAAAGGTTCAGATAAGATAGGTGATTTACATAATTACTTCATATACGAAATCAGAACAAAAAACGAGTCACGGTTTTATCTTGCACCAAGAAGTCCTTGGTAATCAGATTCAGACTGATTGCTATTTAATTTGAGTTTTGAAACGGTAAAGTTTATGAATCCAGTGATCAAAAGACTTTGAATTCTGATACACTACAGGAAATTTGACCTGATCCCGGATGCCGCGATCTGGTACTTTTGGAGGACCACTCTAGACGGGGTTTTGCTAAGGCACGACAGACGAATTTAATGTTATTGGTTAGCAGAGAAATGAGAATTAAAACCACGGAGGCCAGATCGATTTCTAGGATCTCGCTAAGAATGACAGTGAAAGTGTGACCGCAAACACAATTCATCAATCATCTGTATTGAATACCGAAGTCTTCGATTCTCAAATTCAAGGAAACCACAAGACAACTTTTAAGTTTAGCCTTCAGTTGTGTGATTGACTTTTAATAAAAGTTCACTGCTCCGTCGAGATTACGATTGATATATAAAACCAATCACTTTGCTATTCTTCTCTCTGTGTATCATCTGCAAATAGCTGGGCTATAGTGCCTCACATGCTGGTAACGTTCCGAGAAAGTTCGTCTTGCTTGTTCGAGGAACTTAGGGACAATTATTTCATAATTGAGCTTCGAGTCCTATTGATGATTCAAGGTTATGTGTGAAGTGGCGGTTGTCAATGAGGATTTTTTGTGGACCTTGTCAATGGCATTGGAGATTTGTAATTGCTGTCAATGGGCCAGAAAGGTCGCATTTTGGCAGTAGATTTTTTGATTCACTTTCACCTAAAACACTCGCTGTCAATCTTGATTGGCGTTAATCACCATTTTGAGAAACTGATAGTTCCATACACTTGCACAGCGGAGCGATTAAGGACTGAATGGAGGTCGATCACTAAGAGGAGAACTCAACGGTAGAAGAGACGCGAAATTGGAGATGTATGTGAATTTGTTACTGAATGCTGTAGTGTAAAGATGGCATGTTATCAATCTAACAAAAAGGATTTTCTATCGATCCTAAATCATCTAATCTCAAAAATTTGGGAGGTCACTTCCCCACACTCCAAAGCCTTCCCAATCTCTCCGTTCATAAGACCATGTGCGTAACATTGGCCTACCACAGTCCAATAATCATCATGTGGTCTCAAAATATAAGGTACAGGTGACCCGTACAAAACGCACAGTCTATCACCCTTCTCTATCTGTTGGTGTCCCAACCCAATATATCCTTTTGAAGTGATAAAGAGCCTCTGGTTTCTGATCGCTTCTTCAAGATACTTGTCAAACATTCTACTTTCCCGAAGCATAGACATTCGCTCGATTTCTGTTGGTGTTGGCTTGCCCATGTCTTCATTGTATTCGGGAACATGATCGTCGTAGAACCTTTCAAGAGTATCTGATTTGGACAGAACCTTATTCATTAGCAAGGTGCGACAATATGCTTCCGTCAAAGTACCCCCTGCCACGTAATATTCCTGGTGCTTCATTGATCCTCTCGCTTGACGTAAATTCAAGATAGAAGTTTGCCAATCATCTCTTTTTAAGGTTTCCTCACTCCAACCACCTAAAGTTTACCGCAAATCGGTCCAAAATGATATGGCCATGAAGAATTCGCGCTACAGATTCTTGTCTTCCAAGAATCCTACACATCCATAATTGTACCAGAGTTAGCCGATGCAGATGTTGCTAGATGGTCGCATCAGAATCTTCGTACCATAATATCCTCCCACTGACTTAGAATTTCGAAATGCGAGTGCGTATTTGCGTCCATGACTTGACCGCATGTGTCGATATCACTTACTAGCACACCTCTCGCGCTCAGAATACGATCATTGTCATGAAATCTCAAATCTGGGGTCAGATTGGTTGCAGCTTTGTAGCAATATGCATCGTTGTCGTATATTGTAAGCGGTCTAACCCCAAAAGAATGCTTTGCTATGATGTCCAAATCTGTGGCCCAGGAATGTGAGTCATTGCTGGAACTATCTTTATATCCGCTGAAGACGCCCAGATAATTAAAATCGCCACTACTAAGTAGATGCTTAGCAGCTTGAGTGTAGACCTGGGTTTTCGATAATGTGTAGTCTGGTATGATATCGCAGCTATCCGCAAGTCCAAGCAGCCCATAGATTCTGTCGCGAGGATCTGTGACTAAGATATGAGGGCCAATTATTTCCAAAACGTCACTGAGTACAAGTGACTTATTTGTAGCAACAGTGACTCTAGAATGAACAAGTTCCTTGATACCATATGAATATTCATTCATCCAGTGATCTTCGCCACTTGCAACAGCATAATGAGTCCCACAAGAAGAAGCATAACGAATGGCGAAAACCAAATCATCAAACGAGATTGAATGCGAGCCACAATGAACAATGGGATTCTTCGCAAGAGCAACTTCTTGGATAATCCATAATCTGCACCAGTAAGGATTTTTCAATGGTGTCCAGAACTCGCATTTCAATGCGTCTCGCCACTTATCTTTGTTCTCCGAATCTAGGTGAGGCGATTTCGTTTCGCCACGTTCCACGCTTTGAAACCAGCCAGCGAGTAATTTCAAGGCAGCAAAATGGTTCGAAGTGCTAGAAACAGCACTCTCAGTTTCTACATGAGGACGCTCATCATCCCACATTCCTCTATTTGAAAGTTTTGGCGGACCAAGCCATATTGTCACATCTTTCGCATCCTTATAGATGCGACGCATTTGTTGTACCTGCATACCCCGCTCTGGAATATCTTCTTGGTTAATACAAACTGCGTCGATCCATAGAACGCGAGGGACTTCGGTATCTCGAAGATATCTCAATGCACTTTCTTAGTTTGTGGTCGCCATAAACACATGGCCATCGACTTTGATCGGAGCACAAATTGATGGATCTCCCCAAGTATAGGAAAGTGCTTGGTATGTAGGATTGTCATCAAGTAGACATGGAGATAAATTACAATGGATAGGTTCGTCGAAGGTGCCCGGCTCTATTCCAAGAACTCTGATCTCACCATCTTTCAGCGGATGATAGAGTTCTCTTGTAGATGACACATTGTTGTAGGCTATCTTGCAGTAAGCGGTTTGTACAGAGATATCATTGCAAGAGACCTTAGCTATGTGCTTTTGGCACTTTGACTTACTCAATTGAAGAACCTTCAGAATGTGAAGTAGAATTAGTTACGGTGATACTACAATGTCAAATATCCGCCTTACAGATTTATGAGCTGAAAAATAAAATAAAAACGTCAAAAGGATCTGCACGCTCATAAGCTATACCAGTGCAGTCGCACCTTTCAAATTCGTAAACCTCCGAGTAAGCCCCCCATCTATGCAAACCCTTACATCTGACTGCCCCGCATTACACGAGCATTTACGCCACAAGAAGACAGCACTTAGCGGCTCTTCTCCTTAATTTATTTGGAGATGCATGAACAAACTCCCGGCAAGACTAAGGCTTGAAGGTTTGCGTTTCTGGAAAAATACCGAATTTTGAGCTTTAGCACTACTTCTTGCCAGTTTATGTATGAATATAGAGCAAGTTATCAGTATTGATTGCTGGATAAGTTGTTGAGTACTCAATGAGGTAGAATGATACTAATGATCAACATCACAGGTCAATTTGATCCACGAAAATACCCATTTTCGATCACAATTCATTGCACCGCCGCGAAAACCCCTACAACAGTTCCCTCTGCAACACATCCATTCTTTTGCTTTACAAATCACTCTCCTCTACCCATTCACGCAAGTACAATCTCCTTCCAACTCGGCCCCTCCCCCTGCCATCCCCCAACGCTCACCCACCCCACCGCAACCCTCATCGCTACCCCCTCATCTTCATCCCACACAATCCACATAACACACTTCATCCTTCTGTCTTCCCTCTCCTTCACCATATCCATGAATTCTTTCGAAAACGTACCTCTCGAACTATGCTCATTCATCCACATCAAGTTCTGTACCGACGGGGTCCCAAAATCGATTTCAAACAGGGAGATAAGTTCAATTTGTGTAGTCGTACTCGTGGAATCTGACGAAACGTGAGACTCGAGAAAATGATTCAAAGTGGCGGAATCGATTTTCAGTTCTCCGATCATTTCATCCTCTCCAAGAGAAGAAATGGTGAAGAATCTCAAGTCCTTGTGTCTCGCTAGCGGCGGTCGTAAGATTTCATTCATATCGATTTGACAAGTGATAGAATATGTTTGGAACAACAAGATACCTGGTCCAATAAAGTTACTTGACATGATTTTCCAGGTTCTCGTGTCCAGGTCTCCTTCTACGTCAAGTAGAGCCCTAAATTTGGGTTTCGGAGATCTTAATCCTGGTGTGGCCGAATAAGAACGTGTATACCATGAAGTCATACTTTGATGCGACTGTGATGGTGAGGTATGCACTTTGATTGTGGGGACGACCTGTTTATATCTCTTCTCTTGCCTTATTTTTATTTCACCATCTACACTGGAGATTGGCTTATAAGCTTCATAGATAGCCCACCTCACTTCCCCCTTTACCCCACACTTTTCTGGACTTGCAAGAAATGGATACTCAATCTGGCCCTTCCAACCCGCCCACGACCAAGTCGGAAATGGAAAGTTCCCAGAGCTCAAATCTTGAGATCCTCTACGTGTAAGATTTCCCTCAGGTTGCCAAGCCAGGGCAAACTCAAAACAAATAGCCGGTATTCCACATACCGAGCCCCCTAGTCCTTTCAAAAGAAGACCAGTGTAGAAACCCCGACAAGCATTTAAACAATCGCTTTCTTGCGTAAATTGTCTCGCAGACATTTTCGATACCATCGCCATGTAATTTTCGAATGGATCCAATTTATTCCGAAAATCGAAGCCCGTTTTGAGACTTTCATCATAGAATATGTTCTCAATCTCATCCGTATCCCCATTTTCGTTGATATCTAGAATCAACAGAGGAAAATCCTCACTCCAACTCCCTTCCTCGCATGAATAATAGGTTCTTTCCGTTGTGAAATAAAGAATTCGTTTTGAAAATACTAATTCCTGAAATGTCCACCCCCGGCTGAACCATGTTGAAAACTCTATCACATCTCGAAGCTCCATTGAGTTGACTGTGAATCTGATATTGTTAATCAAGTGGGTTTCAGCGTCTGCGAAAATTGGATCGATATCCAGTAGTCCGGAATTCGCACCATCGCCTGTAGCTGCTACGATTGTCATTTCCGCTTGTGCGTAGATAATATGCATTCGATCAATCTCATGCATTTTGCTTTCTAGATCATCTTGCACTATACAGAGGGCGTCGACCCACAAGTACCGTATTCCAAAGCGTCCAGTAATTTCAATTGCATCTAAGATCGTTTGCGGTATACTTTTGGTTGTAAGAGAGCCTCGCGTGGAGAACTCATTCTCATTTCTCTTCTCGAGAAGAAGAAATGGTGGACGCCCCCACACATAACTCAGAATGAAATACTTTGGAACCTCCTGAATCCCCATTTTCACAATCTTCATATCCGCGATATCGATCAATCTACCTGGTCCAAAACCTGAACATAGGGCCCTGGTCGTTTGCGTTTCTCGGCATTTCTCATGACTTTGTAAACAAGAATTAAAACAGTCTGAGAACATACCCAGATCTCTTTCAGTGCTTATCCTACCACTCGGCAAAGGAACCCAGGGGCCTTTCACACCAGTGAATATAGTTTCGTGATCAGAGGCGAGCATAGGAAGTTGGGTAGGTTCATCATTGATATCATCCGCTGTATTTTCGGGCCACCAAATCGATAAAATCCCATCACTCATAATTGTATTGAGAGAAAGCTGAATGGATTCTGAGAACGGATCAATGATACACTCTACTACATCCCCACTTTCGGTGAGCTCCTCTGTATAAGCCAATTCAAGGAGCTCAGTCAGAGTCAATCCATGAAGATCTATCCCCTTTGATCTTGCATTCATATAAATATCTCTTCGTTTCAACCGCAAAAATTGTCTCGTAAGTAAAGAACAAAAAGAACAATTTTGCCGGGCAAATATTTCATTCAACCTACCCAAATGCATATTATCTGAAGCATCTCGGGCGCTCACACCGAAGTCGAATTTTTGAGCTGCGTCATCATTATAACATACGACTTTTAATCGCTCGGATACTATTACACAATGACTGCATAGCGCACTAACACTATCAACGGGGGAGTTTTGAGAGCCATCTTTGAGAGATCGCTTCGAAATGGCGTTTTCGAGATGTCGCAAGGCAAGTTTATAGGTCTCAATACTTGGGTTTCGATCGCTGTTAGGAATGGAGAGTGTTAATTCCATCGTCCTTTGACCCCCATCTCTGGGCTTTAGACTTGTGGAAGTAAAAACATGCTATATGATGAAGATACAATTTCGAGCAATTGAAGTATAGCGAGCTATGAAAACCTTAGATCTCGAAGTAATCACGAGAATCGAAAAGGCCAAATGAATAATATCTTCGAGATGATGTTTTGGAACAGCTGACATGATTTAGAAAATTGCATCGCCACAAGGTCTTTATATAGCCAATAGACAACCGCCAATGATTAGCAAGTCCAATGCTTACATACAGCTTGGCGTTTTAAGAAATAGGAAGAAACGTCAATTTTTACAGAACAAAACACTAATTAATTAATGAGCAGTAAAAATGGTTGACAGTTCAAAAAAGTGATTGTTACCTTGGACTTTCAAGTGTAGCAATGGAAATACAGAATTAAATTATGATTATGGAAACAAATCGATGGGGTCCATCAATTTCTATATGCTATTCTATGTTTTCTATTCACTATCTATCTGTATTCGAATACTATGCACTACTCCAACTCCCCTATGACAATCGCTTACCAAATGCAATATGTCCCAAATTCTTTGTCATGTTTGAGTTTCAAATACATAGGTATCGTAGCTCGTTATGTTTGAGTCTCGCTCACATTGATCGTTGGAAACAGTTCCCCCATCCTCATCTTCAATGAATTCAAATTTTACACTCATTCCCTTAGGTTCCCCGTCGCCCCACGCACCTCATCTAAAATTCCAAAACTTTAATCCTCTCTGCCAACCCCTCAGGTAGTTCCTGCTTCTTCATAATACCCAATCCAACTACATCTCCCCAGAAGAAAAGGGCTCTACTTTGCGCATACCCCAGATAATCGAATTCATCTTCTTCCTCCTCGACCTGTTCTTCTATCTTGATTTCCCTCTCATCTTCCATTTTCATCTTCATATCCTCAGGATTCGCATGTTCAAGAATCCCATCCTGGGGCCCGTCAATTTCATCCGGCGTCACAACAAACCGCGGCGCATCATCCAACTCTGGCACTTTAGCTTGTACAATTCCCCATGCAACCCATTGCGCACTATTGGCCAATCTCCAAATCCGAATTTCTTTTAACATCTCTTCCACTTGCTTATCTGATTCCTGCTCTCTTCTTGCTTCTTCTTCTGCATATAGACTTGTACTACTAGATGGAGTATCCTTCTCACCACCTGGCGTTCGACTATCCAACATGAATTCTTTGATACTACCTGGTGGTGCATCTTTGCCTTCCATTTTTGGAGTCAAGTTAGCGTGAGGATTGAAATGAGGACGATGGTTGAGATATGCCCTGACGAATCTCTTCTGCTCTTCGACTGTTGGATAGTTCCTGGTATCACAAGTCCAGGTCATGGGAGCAGGCGCATGGTAATTGTAACACCATTCTGTGAAATGATTGGCAAATTCTAAGCCAGGAGTATTTGCACTTGCGTATTCGAAATCGATCACTACCAGTTGTTTGTGGTGATTCATTGGAAGGAGGAGAGGGGAGGGCGCTGATCCATTGACAGGTGGTTCGGGTACCAAGCGTAAAATATTGCCATATTGTGTCTAGAATTCGGGATTAGTTCGGAATCGCAAAGATTAAAGTAAGGAACATACATCGTTATGAGCAAATACCAATCTACGACTTAGCCCTTCTTTCCCCCCATAACTCTCCTCTAACCACTGTCTGTATTTTTCAACAGCAGTTCTGAATACAGGCCATTCAACACCACAAACTAAACCTCTATCTCTCCAACTTTCGCCTCTGATACTTTTACTGGAACCTCCTTCCAGAATTTGCTTGTCAAGATACGTGATAATCTTCTCACATCTATCAACCCATTTATCCCAATTCTTGAACACAAATGGACCATCATCTCTCTCTTCTTGAAGTAATTCAACACCATCGTGTAATTCTCTCATACGTTTCGCAATTTTCTTGCTAGTTTCAGGAATTCGGAGATCTTGAGCTGTGAGAGTCTGAGCATTGAAGAATTCTTCAAATCGACCATTTCTGAAAGTTCCTAACATTCTAGGT